TTTCCATACGTACGTTCTTCAAACCGGTCAGGTTCAGGTATTTCCTCTTCCTCTGTCTGCACTGGCTTCTGCTGTGGCTTCTGCTCCACCGTGTCCTTTCCAGTCGCTAGGATATTTTGGAGCCTTTGCTTCTCCCTCTCTAAGTCGCCTGTGGAAAATAAAGAAAACAAATATTTGCCAGACTGAGGCAGAAGTGCAGTCTCCCCACCAAGGCCCTGCTGGCAGCTGTGCCTGGACACACACAGCTGGAGATTCTATATAAGTAATTTCACAGGAAATATCTATCACGGTACATCCCATTCCCATCCTATACACAGCACGGGCACTACATGTACTGTACTGACAACAAAAGTCCCAGCTCCATTTACATCAGTGGTCTGATATCAGTTTATAAGCCATAAAGTTATGAGAGAATTGCACTGTCACAATAAGATAAACTGAAATCCTGTTCTGTCAATGAGCCACCCAGCCAGCAGGCAGGGTTAGGATGTGATCATCAGTGAAGGTAGGCGCTGTCAAAAGTCCCCTCACAGCTCTGGCTTTTGTGCACCTGCCAGTGGATTAGAGAGAAGGCAGAAGGAGGTTGGAAAGCAGACAAGAGTGTTCTGGAGACTGGAGGAAAATGGGAGGAAAGGAAAGAGAGGAGGCAAAACTGATCCCTTAGCAAAATTTGCTCACTTACGAGTGGCCCGGGGTTTGAATTTCTCTCGGGTGTAGGCATCACCTGCCCGGCAGATCTCGGCAGGTCGGAGATGAGGTCTGGCCAACAGAGTGACTGAAAGACAAGGCTTTGGTGGAGAGAATGCAGGCTGTGCAAGCTGTGGTTCTTTGCTGGATGTTGGGTTGCAGTGAGTGGGCAGGGAAACACCTCCTGGGAAAGGAAGGGAAGACAATGGCAGGTTAGGAACAGCGGAGTCTGTAGGTTGGTGATATCCCTGGACCACATAATGCAGTTCCAGTATTAGTCTCATTCCCTGGACCAGTTACATGGGGAAATCCCATCCAGTCCTTATTAATAGCTACCAAATTTAGCCTTAAATGATGGAGATTAGATGGGGGGTTCAAGAGAGGAAGACTGTACTCCATGAGAGCAGCTTCCATTACTGTTGTATGATGAAAGAGATGAGAACAGCTGCGGTGGACCAAATGCTGAGGAGAAAGAAATACCACCCCCCAATTTCTTCCCATTCCTCCAGTCTATAGGCAAATACCCTCTGTAAAAAGAATGCTCTATGTATCTGGGACGCATGAATGCTTCACCACAGCAGCTGTAAGGTGTACATAGGGGTTAGGAGCAGAAGGTCAATAAGCAGCAACCTGCAGAAGGCAGAGTGCATGTGTGGGGGTTGGGAGTGGACAAAGCTGAGGCATCACTCACGTTTCATGCAGTTCATAAGGTGGCGTTGCTGGAAATTGGTAAGTCTGGATTCCTTCATCATCACTGAAAGGAAAAAACCATCTATAAAGACCCCAGCCTGAGAACTCAGCAGAAACAGCCTGAGGAACTACCTGTTCACTTTAGGCAACCAGAACAAAAGAGGGGAACGGCTTTGGAGGAAACTCCATATTTGTAATCGAGATCCTTTGGGAAAAGACCCAAGTGATTCATGATTCCTAAAAGATTTAGGCTGAGAATTTCAAAAGTGGGTGCCTAAAGTTAGGTTACTAACTCCATGTTTACACACCTAAATAAGTGGCCTAATTTTCAAAAGTATTGGCATTCTCCCTCATAAAAAAGGAAACACCAGCTTTAAAAATGGTACATAAGGGCTGTGGTGGAGGTAAAACTGTTCTCCCAAATTCGAAAGCAAATGAGAACAGCATTTGCAGTAACAGTAGCAAGGGAACTAGTTATAAGAGCTTTAGCTGATCACCAATTGGGGGATCAGGATGGCATTACCCACATGGCATAGTAATGTGGAATTAGTACAACAAAGGGCTTTTATGTCTTCGACTTCGGCAATGGTAGGAGAAGGGAGACAGAACGAGGTTATTATTTAATATGTTGTAGAACCCAGAAGTCTGCTTGGCAATAGCTGTTGTGTAAAAATCTAGAGTGACTGACAGGTAGATTGGATAAGACAGGCACTTTACAGGAAATACACAGAAGACAAAAAGAAAAGGAGTACTTGTGGCACCTTAGAGACTAACCAATTTATTTGAGCATGAGCTTTCGTGAGCTACAGCTCACTTCATCAGATGCATACCGTGGAAACTGCAGCAGACTTTATATATACACAGAGAATATGAAACAATACCTCCTCCCACCCCACTGTCCTGCTGGTAATAGCTTATCTAAAGTGATCAACAGGTGGGCCATTTCCAGCACAAATCCAGGTTTTCTCACCCTCCACCCCCCCCACACAAATTCACTCTCCTGCTGGTGCTAGCCCATCCAAAGTGACAACTCTTTACATAATCAAGTCGGGCTATTTCCTGCATAAATCCAGGTTTTCTCACATCCCCCCCACCCCCATACACACACAAACTCACTCTCCTGCTGGTAATAGCTCATCTAAACTGACCACTCTCCAAGTTTAAATCCAAGTTAAACCAGAACATCTGGGGGGGGGGGGGGGGGGTAGGAAAAAACAAGAGGAAACTGGCTACCTTGCATAATGACTTAGCCACTCCCAGTCTCTATTTAAGCCTAAATTAATAGTATCCAATTTGCAAATGAATTCCAATTCAGCAGTTTCTCGCTGGAGTCTGAATTGAAAACTGCTGAATTGGAATTCATTTGCAAATTGCAAATTATCTTCGCCACGGGAGAGAACTGTGTGAGCAGTAGAGTGTTTTGGTTTGTTTTTTTTAAATGTACATACTGCTGTTATAAATGGAACAATGATCAAGCCAGAAGCATGATATGAGTTTAAAGGGGGGTCAATGGCCTTTTCACTGTACTCCATTCTGTCTTCTTGTTACCTTTCATCAGCTCTTTTGTTTCTTGGCCATAATGAGTTGTCCCTGGAGAATGCCAGAAACCAGTTCCTTTTGGGACAGCTGGCGCTGCTCTTCTTCCCTCCTGGGAAGACATTGTGAAACCCTGAAAATGACAGTGAGGCAAGGAGTCAGGAAATAATATTCAACTTCTAATGGTTCAACTCAAAAGAACATTCTCTCTTCACAGCCCTCAGTCATACTAGGGTCCCATTACACAGTCTCTAGTACCTCAAAATCAATCTTAATACTTACTTAAATATAGCTAATCCATTGAAGTCTTGACCCTGGAAAAGTTACCATAGTGTTTGAGGGACTGGCTGGAATCTCCCATGCCCTTTTTTATTCTCCCCTCTGTTGCAGTGACAAACCTGCTTCCAGTTGAGAAAGGTTGCGAAACCCTAGAATCCACCACAGTCATACTAAGCACTGCTCAGAGTGGAATACCTCAACACTGCAAATTAAGATGCTGTAATTGTAGCACAGGTAGACATACCCACACTAGTTTTAATCTACAGAGCGCAGGTAACAATGGTAGAGAAAGTGTGGGAGCATGGACTTCAGCATTGTTAGCAATCCAAGTATGTGCTAAGGGTCCCCTGCAGGCTTGTGCTGGGATTGTTAGCCTGCGCTGAAGCTCATGCCACCACGTCTTCGCTGCTACAGTTACCCATGCTAGCTCAATTAAAGCTGGTGTGGGTATGCTTAAACACACTACAATTAAACCTTACTTTGCAGTGAAGCCATACCATGGGATGCATGGACTCAACACATTTACATACTTGATCTCACAACATGGCATCCATGGCACTTTCTCTCCTGAGGGGATAACAGGTTTGCTGCCTGTTCTGAATATACCTAATGTAATCTGAAGAAGAGCTCTGTGTAGCTCAAAAGCTTGTCTCTTTCACCAGAAGTTGGTCCAATAAAAGATATTACCTCACCCACCTTGTCTCCCTATAAAATCTTAGTTAATGCTGGTTTGGTCTATAGCAGGGGTAGTCAATTATTTTTGTCAAGGTCCAAATTTCTGGGTCAAGGTATACCCAAGGTCCAGGTTCCGGGGGAAATAATAAAAAAATACTAACAATAATTATAATAAGTAAATAAAATAAAAAGATTTTGGGATCTGTTCAAAAGTGTCTGGCAGTCCAGATTTGGCCCAGTCTCCCTATTGACTACCCCTGGTCTATAGTCTTCAAGGATCTTTAGCACTGCCAGACACAAACACATGCACCCTCCCACCAGTCAACTCCCACCACTGGCTGAAGGAAACATCCTTTTCCCATCACACGGGGTGCAGTGATGTAGGTTCAGTTCACATCTGTGATACCACAGATGACACCAGCATCCAATGCCCTAGAGAAGACACCTTGCTCCACAGTACAGTGCTCACGGGGGGACACTCCTCACACCTTGGCACAATGCAACAGGGAGCTGTCCTCTCACCCCACTCTGCATTGCCACAGGACAGTGTCCCACCACAATGCAATGCCATGAAACAACACCCCATCAGCCCCATTGTGTAATGCAATAGGATGGCGCCCAGAGCAATGCTGTGGGGCAACACAATAATGCAACAAAGCAAGGCCCATGACCACACAGTGCAACGGCACCTGGTGTTGCCTCCAAGCCACCACATGCCACAGGGTGATGCCCCCCCCACCTGACACAATAATGGCCCCTCTCATGCCCAACAAGGGTGCAATGCTGTGATGTGCCACAGCCCCTCTCCCACACAGCGGGGCACCCAGGGCGGTGCAAGGCCCCCTTCAACGGGGCCTCGCCGCCACCCAGCGCCCAGTGGGAGGGGAAAGCCTATGGGGTGACGTCCCATCAGAGGCTCGGATGCCCCAGATGGCGAGAACGAAGTGCCAAGGCCACCTTCCAGTCTCCACGGAAACCCGTGCTGGTCCCTGATTGGCGGGTGGCCCGGCCCCATCCCGACCCCGACCCCGACCCCGGGGAGGGCGGAGATTCGGGTGCTCGCAGCGATTCCTTCCACCCCGCTCGAGCCGCTCGCTCACCCGAAGTTAGCGGCTCCCGTTACCATGGGAACCCGCTCCCCCGCCCGCTTCCGCTGACGTCGGCGCCGGCCCCGGAAGTGGATGATTGGAGGTCGCCGGCCGCGCTCGTGGCCTGTGAGGACGCCCCGCCGCTGGGAGGTCTCCGGCTGGTGGCGCGCCGGGCCGGCAGCATGTCCGACAACGAGGACAAGTGAGAAAGAGGCGGCGGGGGAGGGGGGCTCGTGCCCGGGGGTGAAGGGTCAGGAGGGGCTCGGCAGGGGGCGGCCCAGCGGGGTGGGGTGAGGACGCCAAGCGACGCGGGCTAGTGCGGGGGCGGGGGGCAAGTGGGGCCGGGTGGAGGGGCGGGGAGGGTGTCGAGGGCAGCGGGTGGGGGGTATTGCAGGGGAGAAGCAGGGGGGCAGTGCCGGGTGGCCCGAGGGGAGCAGCGGGGTGGGGAGGCAGCAGGGCTGCGTTCGGTTCTCCGAGGTGGGCGGCGGCAACAGCAGCCGCCGCCGCCGCCGCCTATCGGCTGGGATCTGGCTGTAGAGCGATAAGTGACCTTGTGTCTTTTGTCACCCACAGCTTTGATGGTGATGACTTTGACGATGTGGAGGAAGATGAAGGACTGGATGATTTGGAAAACGCAGAGGAGGTTCGTGCTCAAACCCTTCCTCCCCTCAGCACTCTGCATAGTGCCCACGTGCTTCACATAGCCTCCCTTTTTATACAGCATTTACATTTTTCCCAGGCCACTCCCAGTTCCTGTCATCCAGGGAGCTAGTGACTGGGAATGGCAATTGAACCGAAGTCCCTACGATGGCACCTCAGGGTGCTGGCTCGTAGAGCACTCAGCTGCCATAAAAAAGATGGAGAAAAGTTGTTCTCTTGCCACAGAGCGCAGAACAAGACTCAGTGGGTTCACACTACAGCATAGCAGAGTTAGATTAAATCTCAGGAAACACTTCCTAACTGTAAGAACAATAGGACAATGGAATAGATGCCTAGGGAGGTTATGGAAACTCCTTCACTGGAGGTTTTCAAAAAGAGGCTGGATAGCCACCTGTCTTGGATGATTTAGATACAGCTCCTGCATCTTGTTAGTACGTTAGACTAGATGACCCTTGGGGTCCCTTCTAACCCTGTGATTCTATGATCTTGGTCCTATCACACTCTAGAGAGTGAGACACTGGGAATGGGATTAGAACCCGAGTCTCCAATATGAAAGTTCAAAGAACCAGTTGTTAGGACACTGGACCCAGAACCTCAGAAAGCCAGTCTTGGGTATCTCTGTATATTAATCAGATAAATACACTTCCCAACTGGGCTTTCTACTCTGCCTTACTCAAAGTCCTTGGTTAGGATTCTGTGTAGACTTTAAACCTTCATTCTTTGATGGTTCCACAGTCTGACAAAATCTGTTAAGGACCTAGAGCTCCCTCAATGTGCTTACAATAGCTTATATTCCTTTATTTCTTCAGGAGGGTCAAGAGAATGTAGAAATCCTTCCATCTGGAGAGAGACAGCAGGCAAATCAGAAGCGGATCACGACTCCGTACATGACCAAATATGAGCGAGCCAGAGTCCTGGGCACTCGTGCACTCCAGATAGCGTAAGTGCACTTGTTCCATGCCCCAGCCTTGGCAGTGGCATCTCATGACATTTTTCCATGTTTAAGTTACTTTCTTACTGTTCGGGATCTTCCATAGCTCTGAGGATTCCCCACCTGCCCTGTGAGGTTCTGTCTCATAGCTACTGCCAGCTGTGAAATGCAAGGGCTTGGAAATGGAAACTTGAGCCCCTAGACAAGTCTCTGCAGCCTTCCTAGAGCATTATATCCAGGACAGTGCTACTGATGGCTTATGCTTTATGCCATCTGTCTCGGTTGCCTCTGAAGTGGGAGGCATTTCTCATCTGGAATCAGCCCTCTCTGCTTAAGTCAACAGGAGGGTGGGAGTAGTGTTCTAGGTGTATCTCCTTCCTTACCCAAGGGGAAACCAAACTCTGCTGAGAAACTCAGGATGTTTGCAAATGCCAAGACCCCAGGGGAAGTTCGAGGTCTTCATCAACAAATGTCAAAGGACTGTAGAAAGTATGAATGGAAAACATATGCCTAAACTTTTAGATTGCAATTATTTTGAGGGCAGGGACTGACTTTTACTTACTTGGCCAACAGCTGGGACAGCGGTGCCCCAGCTTGGTTAGTTTCCCCCCACTACTACACTCTGAATGTTGTTCATGTACCATCCCACCTGCTGCTCATTGAGGACTGTTTTCTGCTTTCTCTAGTGCTTTGTCCAGTCTAATTTTAAATTATGCAAGTCAATAGGTCTTGCACTTTTTGCGAGACTGTACCACAGCCTAAGAATCTCAGCCTTAGGAAAGTTTATTTATATCCATTTGAAATAATCCCTTTGCTTGTTTTCATCCTGTTACTCATGGTTATACCCTTTCAAATCACCCCAAACAATTCCTCTCCCTTACACCTTACAAATAATTGTCAGTTTCAGAATGGTAGCCCTGTTATCTGTATCAGCAAAAAGAACGAGGAGTCCTTGTGGCACCTTAGAGGCACCTTGTGGCACCTTAACAAATTTATTTGAGCATAAGCTTTCATGGGCTAAAACCCACTTCATCAGATCCATGCAGTGGAAAATACAGTAGGAAGATATATATATATATATATATATACACACACACAGGGAACATGAAAAAATGGGTGTTCCCATACACTCTATAACGAGAGTGATCAATTAAGGTGAGCTATTATCAGGAGGAGAAAAAAACTTTTGTAGTGATAATCAGGTTGGCCCATTTCCAACAGTTGACACGAAACTGAGAGTAATAGTAGGGGAGGAAAATAGTTTTACTTTGTGTAATGACCCATCCACTCCCAGTCTTTATTTAAGCCTAATTTAATGGTGTCCAGTTTGCAAATTAATTCCAATTCAGCAGTCTCTTGTTGGAGTCTGTTTTTGAAGTTTTTTTTGTTGTAATATTGCGACTTTTAGGTCTATAATCGAGTGACCAGGGAGATTGAAGTGTTCTCAGACTTGTTTTTGAATGTTATAATTCTTGATGTCTGATTTTGTGTCCATTTATTCTTTTACGTAGAGACAGTCCGGTTTGGCCAATGTACATGGCAGAGGGGCATTGTAGGTGGCTATTGAGTCTCTCCTTAGTCATTGCTTTGCAAAGATATTATTTGCCTGGCCATCATTTGGCAAAGCAATTCTTTGCATGTTCTTTTAATTCTCTGGAAGGCAAAAAAATTAAAAAAAAAAAAAAAAAAGTTCTGAGCAATGAAGTGGGTCCACCATGGTTCAGAATCCAAAACAGGCTGGTGCCTGTTGCTACATTGTCTACTCAAGCTGTCTTTAATTCCAAATCTAGGCCAGCAGCATCCCCTAGTGGCCAAGTGCACACATGCAGTAGAACCTCAGAGTTACGAACACCTTGGGAATGGAGCTTGTTTGTAACTCCCAATTGTTTGTAGCTCTGAAAAAAACATTATGGTGGTTCAGTCAAAAGGATACAACTGAACATTGACTTAATACAGCTTTGAAACTTTACTATGCAGAATAAAAATGCTTCTTTCCCCTTTTTTTTCAGTAGTTTATGTTTAACACTATACTGTATTTGCCTTTTTGTTTTTTTTGGTTTTTTTTGGTCTACTGCTGCTGCTGATTGCATACTTCTGGTTCTAAATGAGGTGTGTGGTTGACTGGTCAGTTTGTAACTCTGGTGTTCATAACTCTGAGGTTCTACTGTAATAGCACACGCTTCCTTTGCTGCCGTCTCTTAAAAGGAGAGGTATAGATAATCCTCATCTTTGACACCGCGCTCTCACATCCCCTCCAAAAAATACATTAAATTTTGAGGGGATGATATCAGTGTGCCTTTTATTGGCTAATAAATGGTACTTATTACTGGGTTAATTTTAAAGTCACTGTTTTCTGTCCTCACATTAAAATATGTCAGGAAGTGACCCCTGAAGGGGTGTGGGCTTCATTGTGAATCTCAAATCCCAGCCTGTGAGCAAAGACTGAGAGAAGGGCCTTCAACTAAAATCTCTGCCTGTGGCCACTTTTTACCCTGTCACTAACTGCCAGACATGCTACTGCCACAATAGGAAAGGATCTTGGGATGGGGATGAGAGAGATTCATGAAGAGCTTTGTCCTCCAAGCCAACAGAGACCTTACAAATCAGAATTGCACCTGTAATTCCGTCCTTCATACTCTGCTGGACTTTATCTGGGTAACAGTCATGTTTGTGAAGCAAGTATCCCCACATGCTTTACCATATTTCTTCCACTCTCTTCTGTCTCCCTCGTGATTGTGGATATCCTTCCTCTTAGGATGTGTGCTCCAGTCATGGTAGAGTTGGAAGGAGAGACAGATCCTCTGCTGATTGCAATGAAAGAACTCAAGTAAGTCCTGGAGATTTTGGCAGTGAGATATCCTTAGATTTACGTTCCTCTCCTCAACACCCCAATGATGACGGTTTATTTCCATTAGTTCCTGAGGCAACAGTTTGCACACTCTCATGATAACAGACGGGGAATACAATCTCCATGTTCATTCAGGCAATCTGTCCTTGCATCTGTGTCCCTCTAAATCAGGTTTGTGTCTAGAATGGAATTCCTGGCCTGGGAGTATGAATCCCCTTTCCTCTTTTCAGTTCGGAATCTGTTCCCAGCAGCAGGTAGCTTGGGTGTCTGTATTCTCCAGTCCTAAGAACTTCTGCAAAGTCCTACTGGTAGCAACATTTTCCTGTTTTACTTATTATATTTTGGAATTCATATTTTTTCTTTAATAGGATCCTAAGGGCCCCATCATGAACTTGTTGGGGTCGGAGAAGTCTCTGATTGGAACTGATTCAAATGTAGCCATTTGGACAAATTCATATTTGCACATATTTCCCCTGCAAAAATAATGTTGCTTAATAGATTAAAATCACTACAAACACATGGTGGCCACATTAAGAATTCCCTGACTCTCCACCTGTTCCCTCCTGTATTGTTTTTCCCTCCTTCCCAATTCCTTGTGCCATAGCTTCTGTGGCATATGAGAGAGAGAGACATGCATACACACCTACTAGCTGCCTAGCCTGATTCCCGCCACCTCTCTGGCAGTGGAGCTTTGGATTGGTATCTGGATACTGACACACATCATTTGAATTTCAACATACTCCAAAGAAGTGGATTTGTCACTTTTCATCTCCTTTCTGTAAATCATCTCACCTCTGGCTGTGTGAAAGTGTTGGGTGGAGGCTGTTGAGTGGGTGACTGGTGGGTCACAGCTCACCCTCCGTTCAGAACTCCCTGCTGGCCCAGAGTTCCGAGCACAGCCTGTGATCTAGCAGACCGGGCCATCAAATAGCAAACGGTTTCCCCACTTACACTCATCAGATACTGGTTTTTGAGTGGAACTGGTGTTTTTGTTTGGTTGGGATTTTTATGCTTCAATTCATTGTAGTTTGTCCTGCAGACTTTACACTCTCATGAGAGAGCCTTATCTTAACTGCATTCCTTCACCTTTGTCATCAGCCAGTAACTTCTCAGTTTGTGCTCATGGCTGATCTCCTGAAACAGCCAGAGTTGGTTCTGGTCAGTGCTAGAGTGCAAGACCTGGGAAATAATCAGAGGTGTTGTAGGAAGTAGTAATTTTTCTTGACAGGGAGTGCTATGCCCTCTGTCAATACCAAGTCAATGCCTCAGGATGGTGCTAATTGAGTGCTTTGCTACTGGAGAGGCCATCTTTTGGATAAGACTTAAAACCATTATTCTGAATGCTTGTGACCATTAAAGATCCCATGTTGTTTTTCACAAACGTAGAGTTGTAAGCCTCAGGCCCTGGCCCAATTCCAATCTGGTTAATTACATTCTGCTGACTTAAAAATGTCTCATGTAGATTAAATTGAATTCAATGTTTTCTAACTTTCTGTCTTGAACTGTGGTGCACTGTTGCTGCGTACTGTTAGCAGCAGCTGCATTCTGATTTAGAGGCAGCCATTTTTGGTGGTGGTGGAAATGATCTCTGTTCCGTGCATATTTAAAATATATCTAGTACTTTGGATGAAAGATACTATGTAAATGTTAGTTGTTTATGAAATTCTTCACAACTCTCATTGCGCTATCTGAAGTGGTTTGTGGAGAACTCATCACTGTGGGTTTCCTGTCCGTCAGAACAGTAGCTTCATTTTTCAGTTCCATTGCCTCTCCCACATGCCTCTTGGGATGCGCAGTCTCGTACTGTTGTGATGTTCAGTGGCTTTAGATTGTTTCCAGTGTAGGAATTCGGCACTGCAAAGTGCTGAGCTCCTCAGTTTTTTGACTTCTTTGGGGGTCCACAGCACCTTATAGGATCTGACCTTCCAAGGGAAAGAACTTTCACTGTAATACCGAATCATGAGCACCCCAACACTACACCAGAAATCTGCTAATGAAACAAAACCAGTGAGTTACTAGCTCTCACCAGCATGGCACATCTGGACTTCTGTAGCTTGCTGAGAGGGTGTAATTAAAGCTTTGGCATTTCCATTTACCTCTCTGTCCTCTCTTCAGAGCTCGGAAGATTCCCATAATCATCCGCAGGTACCTGCCAGATGGAAGCTATGAAGACTGGGGTGTGGATGAGCTAATTATCACAGACTGACCTGCTTCCCGTCAATATCCCTGGTTCCTCCTTCATCTGCATATGCTTTTATTTTTGTTTATATTTGTGTAAATAAATAATAAAACCCCATTTTTAAGCAAATTGTGGGTTTTTTCCCCCCTTACACAGTTCAGTCTGCTGTGGCTGGCAGGAGATGGCCTCTTCCTCCTTTCCATCAATTTAGATCTGTAGTTATTCCTTCCCTCTGCCTCAGCCAGCCCTGGCCTCTCTCTTTAGAAGCACAGTGCCTGTTAACTTGCTCTTAGGCTCACTGAGTAGTGTGAGGTGCCTTTCCCTCAGTGCTTCTGCCTCAGAAGCCCTGTGCTTGTAAGCTAGTGTAAAGATTGAGGGGAGCAGCTGTTCCCCCTACTTAGTGGCCCCTCATTATATTAAACCTTTGCTCTATAAAAATGATCCTGCAGCTGCCTAGCTTCCAGAAACCCTCTGAAGCAATTCTGAGCCCTCTGCCCACACCCCTTTTTACAACAGCCAGGGGTTGGAGTGGAGGAGACACCTCCATTGCCTTCCAGTAGACAGCAGGGCCTTTGTGCCCTGGAGCAGGTTGCCGTGGAAACCCCCAATTTCCTCTCTGATCAGGGCTGGCTCTGGGGGCTTCTCAGGAGTATCGTAGAGCCGCTCTCATCAAATCCCCCATTGTTTCTCCACTCCTGCCCCCCACTTCTTATCAATCACCAGGATCCCCTTTCAGTGGCAATGCCCCAGCAGGAAGCGCAGTTGCCGGCCTGAATCCCCACCAACTGGGAACCTGTTCAACAACTATAAGCGCAGTCTGTGCTTCTACTACATATACAGTCATCCCCTCACCCCATAAGTCTACCAATGTCTTAGCCATTGCCCTACTGTATGTATATGTGCCTTCCCCACCCCCACCCCTACAATAGTTAGAGAACCATTAACAGTTTGAGTATTTTTAAACAGTCTGACTGGTTAAGAAGTGGTGAAGTTGTCCTTTAAGACAGCAACAGTCACGTTAACCTCCACTGCTGACGTGGTCCAAGAGAGGAGCACAAATAGGGGCCCACTCCTCTGCCACTAAGAGAAGCTGTTTCTCCATGGTAAAGTCCTTACGGGCCTAAAGACTGCTGCTGCCTCTAGATTTTGCCCTGAAGCCTTTGTGTGTGTGTTAGGACTTCAGCTCTTGGGGCAAAAAAGCCAACAGGAGGGTAGAACAGCTAGTGCCTTTCATCAGGGCTGATTGCATTCTTAAAAATTGCTCTTGGGTTTAAAAAGAACAAAACCACCACCAATCTTTGGTTGTGCATGCTGCCCTCTGCTGTCGGTTCATACCTGAATCACAGGAGCTGTTTTGCCCTTGGATAACATTTCGGTGCCTGTGCTCTTAGAGACGGTTAACATTTGTAAAATATATACCCCCCTACACACTGTGCGTGCCCGCCCACTTTCCCTAAGGGTTTATATCCAACTGCCTGAAGAATTGTTATACAGCCCTACAACCTCTGTACGTTACTCATATAATCACATAACAAATCATGTAGGCACCAATTAATCTCCCTCTTGTGTGTAGGGATATGAAACATAAATAAGGGGATGGCATCTGAGGCAAGTTTAAAAGAGCTGAATAGGTCATTGGCCAAATGAGGTAAAGGGGGGACATATACCCAGCTGCATCGAGGGATAGGGTGTAAACTCCCAGGAAGCCAAGTATTTGCTGTCCATGCCATCCTTGCCAAGAAAAGGTTAATCCACAGAGCGATGGCCTTCAGCCCTCTTCCCCCACCCCTCCATGGAATCCTTTAATCACGTTGGCGCGGTGAAATTTCAGTCATGAACGGTGTCTTTGTGCAATCGTTTTGGCGTCCGCAATGGAGCGCAAGGGTCGTTTTCTCGGCCCTTTTTTTTTTAAATGGCTTCTTTGTTTCATACCCGCCTTCTCCCCCCACCCCACCCTGCAGCATTGCATCTGTATCAGATACGATTAAAGGGATAGCAAAGGACTCTGGGCCAGCTCCTGCTTGGCTGCAAGGGGAGTGTTTAACCCCTTTGTTCCCAGTCCAGAGGCTAAGGGTGGGGTTGTTCTGGATCCTGTATCAGCTGGGGGTAGTGGCCTGGACGATACTAGGCCCCCCTCCCACTAGATGCTGATCAAGTGAGAACCCCACCTTCTTTCTTAAACTGGAGAGATATGGGAGGACATTTGTATCATGTGAGTAGGAATTTTCTTTTCCCACTCCTCACCTACCCTTCACCCCCTGTGCTTAGCCCCCTTTTTCCCCACACAGTCAGTCCCTTCCCCCAAGCTGTCAAGCAATGTCATCAGTCGATCGTCCTGCAGACCCTTCCCCCAGTCAGTGGTTTATAGTGAGATCTCCCCATTCTCCTCCCTTTTAAAGGCTTTGCCCACTGCTCTGGTTCCCTTTCATTTCCCCGCACCGAACGGACTAGTCTATGTGTTTAGGTCTGAGTCGTTCCACTGATGGTGCTTGTGTGCTGCACATCTCTGGGGCACCTGAACTGAGTGAGCTCTTCCTAAGACTCCCATTGACTTCAATGGGTTTTTGGGTCTGGTCTATAGTTCCTAGAACACATACATGTCCTGCTTACCCACTGTGCACTTTGCATACACAAACACAGTGAACCAGTCACATGCCTCTGCTTAGGAAACCTTGGATCTTCCTAGCTCTTGTGTCCCTTTCCTAGCTGTGCATCCTCTGGTTCTATCTCACTAACGCTGCCCTGGGGAGATTTTGTTCTGAAGTGGGGCGGGGTCTATTGTGTTCTGCTCATGGAGAGAAGTAGGTTGGTGTTCATGTGTGCAGGATCCACGTAGGAGGGCAGTAGGCCCTGCTTAGTGGGTGCCAGATGTAATTTGGAGGTCAGAAGCTATTGAGAGTATTCAGGAATGTGTGTGGGGAAAGAGGGCTTCTGGAAGGAAAGTATCATGATCTAGTGCTTGTAGCCGAGACTCGAGATTAGAAGAGAAACAAGAGGCTTCTAGTCCAGGCAACACTATTAACTCACTGTCAATATCCTTTCAGTGTTTGGCCTGGAAGAAATGTGTACACGCACACAGGGTTTGTGCCATATAAAGGCACCCCTTCCTTCTTACTGGGGAGGAAGGATAAAAATGTGGCTGAAAGGGCAAAAATATTAAAATAGAAAAAAATGGACACACACAAATGAAACCTTTAAGTTTATTATTCCATACATTTAATGCAGAGTTAATGGTGCTAGGACAGCATATTCTGGGGACAGGGAGAGGGGCTTGGTGGGTGGGGAAGGTATAATGGAATAAATAAGGGGAGGGGACAGCAATGGGTTACATGCATACAGGGGAGCAAACGTACTACATGCTCTTTTCAAACATGACAGGAGTCAGCCAAAGCTAAGGGTGGAGAGAAAGGTGTATAAAGGTCATCCTCAGCAGTCTCAGTCGGAGGAGAAAAATGGTAGTGAAGATCACAAGTTGTGCTTGGTCAATCTGTCCCATCTTCCCAGACCTACATATCAGCTGGGGGTTCCATCATGTGTTTTGGTGGCCAATGGGAGGGCATCATCTTCTCCCACCTTGAGTTCTGACGTCCTTCATGTCAGCATGCTCTCTGGCACTGTGAAGCCATGCTAGTCCTGAAGATGTGGGATGGGCAAGCAGACCACCCAAGAGAGCCAGTGGGGGAATGAAGATGAAGACAAGAAGGAGGGGAACCAGTCTGACCACTGAGGATGGTTGCTTCCAGTTTGAAACCCAAAAGGGAAGGCAAGTTCATTTTCCTTTTACGTGGACTAATTGTCTTTATGCTTATCCAACAGTGAATGCTTTCCCCCCAGTTGGTGCCACAACACTATCTTCCCATTCTTTATGAGGGTAGGCCTGAGGTGTTGGCAAACTGGAACAAGCAATGAACAGGCAGGAGGGGATGCATTCTTTAGTTCAGCTCTGCTTGGGGGCCCAACCTTGCAGGTTTAAGGTGATTATTTTAGCAGACTGTGTTTGGGCAAATGGGATTCACGCTGATGCTTCTGGTTGCCACAATATCTTCAGCTACTCTTCCCTCACATCCCATGCACGCACACACACACATGCCAGAAGGACAAACACTGCCTTGGCAGAGTATCTTTTGGAATATTAGAGGGTGAATGGAAGGATTTAGAAGGGACCAGGAAATGTTTGAAACAAACTAGCCATACAAAATAATCGTAAGAAAGGAGGATTCCATCCCTGTTGCCTTTACAGTCCAAGAGGCCACACGTACCCACCCTCCTGCCCCCACATGTATGTTGTGACACAAATAAGGCGAGAACCAGCTATATGGTTCCCGAGTCCAGTACAGTACAGTAAAGAGAGGGTGGGTTGAGGGGAGGATACGATACAGCTGTGGAAGTCAATAGGAAAGCAACCATAGGTTGGTCTTCCAACAGGGATCAAGAGTCATGCTTGTGTGAATTTTAGATAGGAACATTGCAGAGCACTGATCACAAAGAAGTTGACTTTACTGCCCTACCTCTCCTCCCACAACATGTCCACCAGGGTGCTCAGCCAGCTACTCTTCACCCACAACAGGTGACAAAGAGTTGGCCATTGTGGCCTATCCGAAACACTTGCTAAATCACTGAAGCAGTTGGGGGGCAGTTAAGGATGGGGGGTATCTCTTATCTTACAGTCCAGGATGTGCACAACGAAACCCACCATGACCAGTCACTCCATGCCTAGAATCATCCTCATCTAGAAGGCCAAAAGGGTTTTGCAAGCCAATCAGGTTGGCATACATTGAATTGGGAGGGGGAAAGGGGTAAAACCTTCCTCTAGGCGGTGAGCCAGCGATAACCGGGGTCAAGATAGGCATATCTGGATACTCAGTGGGTTCTGATGGCTGGATTACACTGAATGACCTCGGAGTTCGGAGGCCCTTCTGCCTGTGCTGATTCTTCGGAGCCTTTCTGTTGCTGCTTTGGTCACTGTTCCCCTTTTCCTATGGTCTGGAGAGAGTTGTATACACGGGCTGTTCCCAATGTGTGGGGCTGTGGGACTGTGGCACAGAGGGTGCAGGGTCAGAGATGGCAGTGTATAGGGGACGTTGCGAGGGTCCCATGTATGAGAAGGCAGAGTAGAG